ATAATTTTCATGCAGTTATTTCTCTCAGATGGTACTGCTATATCAATAAGCATACACTTCCTGAATTTCTTGTCTTTTATGATAATATCAGGTCTGTTGACCTTTATTTCCTTGAGAGTTTAAATTGTCATGTCCCAGAGGATAGTTACATCGTTATTTTGTGTAATTGTGTCTGGTTGGTGTTCATACCATCTCTCAGTGGTTTCGATTTTGTACCTCTATCATCATCATCATCATCATCACCATCATTATTATTATTATTATGTGCTTCTGTTATTATTATTATTATTATTATTATTGATTTCTGTTGTATACACATTTCCTTCTAGGACTCAGCCAGGGACCTAATGTCAGAAACATCTTTATGAAAAAAATCTAAGATCACACACATTTTACATAGTTTAAGCTCTTCGTAATGTGTGAGCTGTACTTATGAGCACACGTTTTTTGTGTTTATTTAAGGCATGGGCTACCAGGAATCCCTTCAGTGAGTCTATCGGAACTTTTTCTGGTCAATCCGACGGTTTCAATGAGTCTATCAGAACCATTTCCAGTTATTCCTGGATTTATTGTTACCCTCATGTGACACATTTTTAAGATATCCATTTCAAGCTTCCTGTATTTTGATAGTTTTTTTTTCTTTTTAATATCTTCAAAGATATATTACAATCTGCCGGGACAGTCATGTCAATAAGAAAGCACATTTTTTTTTGTTTGTTTTTTTGTGGTCTGTGATCACGATGTCTGGTCGATTAGCTTTGATTGTTCTGTCTGTATGTATTGTAAAGTTCCAGAAAATTGTTACATATCCTATCTCTGTAACTGGGTCTGTGTGATAATCATACCAGTTTCTTGCAGTTTCCTCATCGTAAAAGTTGCATTTAGCCAAGATATTATTATTATTATTATTATTATTATTATTATTTTCTTTGATTTCTGGCGTTTACACATTTCTTTCCGGGTCCCGCCCAGGGACCTAAGGTTAGAAATGGCATCATGACACTTTCCACTGACACACAAAAAAAAGAAATTATTATTATTATTTCATTCATTTGCATTTTCCCACCAGGTGCTTGGTCGTCATTGCTGAAGTAACAGCAAAGCTTCTCAAATGTCCAACACCTTCTTCAGTATCCTTACAAACTCCAGTACCGCCGTGGTCTATACTGACTTATCCCCACCTCGGATTTCCAAATAATTCTGTTTCAAGTCCAGTCTTTTTGGCACAATTCAATCTACAGATCCTATTATAGTTATGATTCTAATCTTCATATTCCGCATGTTCCGTAGATCTATCCCTTTTGTCTAATTTATTATTCTCCTTAATGTAAACTATATGGTTTGCTGTTACAACCACATCCACAATCTGAAGGTCCTTTGTTTCCTTATTCAAGAACATCAGATTCGCGCGCTCTTGGATCGAATGGACATTCCAAGTGTATTTTGTGATGTTTGTTTTCTCGGACAATTTCTGATTAATATTGATAAACATTTGTCTACATGGCCCACTCGAAAACGTTTGCATTGATCCTAATCTGTCACACCTCTTATTTTTTATTCCTTCTGGGTTACTTTGCTATGTTCATTAAATTGTTTACCGCTTCATTCTCGTTCTCATTAGAGCCGTCCGTCTGGGTGTTGTTAATCTTAGCTTTGACATAGTTTGTACTGATGCGCCTATTGCTGGGCTGTTATAATAAGTCTGTTTCTCTTTTCACATGTCTTCTGCGTAGCCGGGTCTATGATTTTTCTACTTTCTATATGGTTTTTAACTTATCCGTACACTATTTTCTTTTCTCATTTTTTATTTTTTATTTTTGCTTATTTTCATTACTTTCCCACTTTTCGCTTTTCACACACGGCCATTTTAAAAACACTATTCTCGTTTGTTTTGTATGTATGGAATTCGAGTCTATCAGTTTGAACCAGTTCTTCCATTTTGAGGAATGGTCTTCCGCCTTCATTTCTTTTTTTTATATATTATCAGTCGGTTTTGTCGTCGGCATCATTTTGAAAATCACTTCAACACTGTTTCATATGTACTAATAATGGTGGAGACAGCGACTAAAAATTTGAGAAAATATTTCAGATTCCTGGCAATGGTCTTGATATTTTTGATGTTTCGGTGAATATCGTATAATATAGAATGATCTGAGAGAGCGACAAAATGCAACGAAAATATAACAGAAGAAAAATTAACATTGGCCATGATTTTTCGAAGAAAGCCAAACAACTAACAACTATTACGTCTACTACTACAAGTTATGAAGAAGCAACAAAAATAAGATTATTACATGATTAATAGTTTCAGTTCATTATAAAGCCTGTGATTCTTTTACGATCTCTAAAAATATAATTCTGCTGGGTCTCTCCTTAAAGAAATAATACTTAGCGTCTCCTGTGAGAAAGTGCCCTGACGCATGCGTATTCACAAACACGGTAAAGTCAAACATTGGGAAGAAGCATAAAAACATCTAGAGAGAGAGAGAGAGAGAGAGAGAGATTGTGTGTGTGTGTGTGTGTGTGTGTGTGTGTGAGAGAGAGAGAGAGAGAGAGAGAGAGAGAGAGAGAGAGAATGCGAAAGGAATCCAAAGAAGAAATTTAGGCGGGGGAAGGAATAATAAAGGACGAAAAAGTAAAGCGCAACAATCAAATCAGACGACACAGACGAAAGAAAGAAAGAAAGAAAGAAAGAAAGAAAGAAAGAAAGAAAGAAAGAAAACTAAAATGATGAGTATAGCCCAAAGGGCAGATTGTAAGAAAGAAAGAAAGAAAGAAAGAAAGAAAGAAAGAAAGAAAGAAAGAAAGAAAGAAAGAAAGAAAGAAAAAGATGAAAGGTGAAAAGGTGAAGAGAATTGAAAAAAGCGATATGAAATGGGACAGGAAATGAGAATTGAACAAAAAAAGAAAATAAAAGGAAAAATGACGAAAAGAATTGACGAAAGATAAAAAAAAAAAATTAAAAAAAAACGATCAGAAATTAAGAAAACTTAAATAACGAGAAATAACCGAAAGAGTTGAAATGAAGAAAGTGAAAATAAGAAAAGAGGAAAAGAATTGGGGAAAAGGGAATAATCAAACGAGGAAGCAGATAAAGAATGAATGAAAGAAACGACAAAATAATTGAAGGAAGAAAAATGTAGAAAGGAAAAAAAGAAAGAGACTGAAGAAAGATAGAAAAAAAAAAGAAAAACTAAAATGACGAGAAATAATTGAAAGATGTGAAATAAAGAAAGATAAGAAAAGAGAAAAATGAAAATACGAAAAGAAAGAAAGAACGAAAGAATTTAAGTGAAGAGGAAGTTGACGAAGAAGAAATGTCTGCGATTGGAGAAGAAAGATAGAGTTGAGAGAAGGAAGGAAAAAAGTTCAAGAAGGGCACACTTTGGACGAAGCATAAATTAACAGAACCAGAAACTAAAATAAATAAGAAATGAAGAAAAACACACGTTAACATCAAGCGAGTAGCACTTAAAGCTACTACAAGCATACACTCTTGAGTACGACAAAGTGGAACATGTAAGGAAAAAATGTATACGGATGAACGATTTTCCGTTTCTCACCCCTTGATTGTAAACACCTTCGTACCAAAAACTTTCTGCCTATTTTGTTTTGGTATTTCTTTTTCCCCCACTCGACTCTCAAGAGTGAAAAAGAAAAAAATGAAAGAAAGTCTTCCGCCTTTTAACTTCTTGCAACGAGCAAGGTTAGGTTCGCTGATTTTTATATTGTACTTCTAAAAAATTAAAATTGACAAGATGCAGGCAAACGCCTCACCGTTTAGTAATATTTGGCGACTTAGTTCTGAATGACCATCACTAATGTGTTGTGAATTTGATCTTCACTGAGCGCTCTACACTTGCAGCCTTGTGTCACGCTAAATTTATCTAACAGATTTCAAAGGCATCTAATCCACAAGTAAGAGTTATCCTGAGATCCTTATTACTGTGTGTAATGGATTCGATCCTTACAGTGGCCCTTTGCCAGGATAAATATAATATATTTCAAAGTTGCCTTGTCCAATTGTTCGTTTACTAAACTAATCTTTTTTACAATGATGTTCACCTTGTACAACGTTAAAGAGAAACTCAAGTAGAGATTTACAGTGTAAAAGGTACCACCCCAATTAAGGTGATAATGCCATCAAAATGCAAGGGGTCACCGGAAGGGAAAGAGAATGAAAAATCTTTAGAAAGAACCGGAAACGCAATCCTAAACAGAAAAAAAGGATAAACCTCTACTCCTGTACAAAAGACCGGGGAGCAGTTTGAACCGGTCTATACGAATGCAAATGAAAAGAATGGTGTTTAATATTTTTGTTTTAGTTTCTCAAGATCATGAAAACGTGTATAAATTCACTTTCATCGTATTTTTAGGTTTTATTACAATTCTAATCATCGCTTTTACTGAGGGAGTGAAGGTAGTTAAAATAATAGCGGTGTCAAGGGAAAGACCGTTCTTTTGACACTCTGATTTTTGCTGACAGTACAGGTTTGCCAACATTTGTTTTTGTTTTATAATCGTTTGTCGAATAATGTGACAAAATAAAAACAGAAACATCGTATGTTCACTTCAGTCTGGTGATGTTTTTTTCTTTACCTAATCAGAAGGCGTAGAATAGGCCGATTGCATCCTTGCAGAGATTTAAGAACCCAATAAAAAGAATCACCTTATAAGGGTGGGGGTTGCAGATTGAGTTATTAGCGACCAACGTTTGCCTATGCACAAATGAATAAACAGAACCAATGTTTATCAAAGGAACCAAGTATAAACGCACAATTGCATTTGGTTGGCACCCATCACTTAATATATACAGTGGGTTATAAATAGAGTTTAGCAGATTAGAATAAGGCAGAGGAAACTTGATGTTTTTCACCATAAATCCTGCACCATGCCAAAAATATAGATTGCTCGGTTATTTTATCTAACTCAGAAAATTTGTAAAAGAATCAGTTTTTATGTAAATATAATGATTCCTTAACCATTGCAGGCTTATGACATATCATAGTGAAACACCGGGTCCCGTACGAACACCGAAGTTAAGCAATATCGATCCCGGTAGGTACCTAGCTGGGGTGACCGCTTTGGAATGCCAGGTGCTGTAAGTTTAAATGTGCAGGTGGTGTAATGGATAAAGGCTCGAAATTGTTAATTGGAGAACCGAGTTCGAATTCCAGTAGGGTTCATTATATTCACTTACGCGCAAATTCTCTTGGGGAAAGTATGAATCGACCTCTTCTCCCCACTATTCTCTAGCTCTGGGGTAATTGTATCACGAAAACCATTATTATCTCCAAAAAATAAAATTGCGTACAAAATATTTAAATTTCAGCATTAAGTAACTCATAGAGGTTGACATGTCGCTAACCAAACATAAATCCATTTTCATTAAAAGCGCTTCATTCCTTATATGCTCCATTAATGGCATTCTCAGCATCCTCATCTTCTTTTCATCTGTGAGGAAAATGTCCAGCATTCAATACAATGTATAGTTCAGAACTCTTTTCTTTGTTTCTAAAGAATTTTCCTGTTTCTTAACACGTTGTTTAGCGTTTCGAAAGCATCTTTTACAATTTCAATGAGTCTTCAGATTTTCTTTTCCCGTTTTCTGTGATCTATTACTAGCAGCATGGCCCGGCGTTGCCCGGGCTTGATTCAAAAATCGTACGACTCATACAGCAATCGCTATCATTTGACTTAAAATATTTTTGCCCTTCCTTGCCTTTAAAGGAGTGCCCTTTTCCGTGCTGATGTTGCTACATGCCTTACTTCTTGCCTATCTCACACTGCGAATTTTTTCTAAGCTCTATACTAAACATTAAATCTGTTACGAAAAAAGAACTAAACAAAATGAACACAAAACTATCAGCTTTAAAAAAGGACTCGTAACTGGAAGAACCGAATGAAAAAAGAATGTTAACAACAAATACTTTTTCACACCCAACCCAGTTCTCCGGAATCAGAATCAACGTTGAGTTTAAGCAAGCGAATGAGTCAATTGGAGTAAAGTGCCATGCAGATTTAAATTTTTCCCACTTGTGACGAATGCAGCTATCGAATTTTTTTGCATGCTAGTTAACATTCGTGTCAGTCAGCTGTTGGCTTTCACGCTGGCCAATAGAGTCTTCCTGCCTATTCGTGGCAGCCACCTACATGAAAAGTGCCGTAGAAGCATGAAAAAAATCTATTATTTCCACTATCGATGGGAGTTGGGAAATGCAATGTCAGTCTAGGCCTTCCCGCTAACTTGGAGCATGTGCATGTAAATTTTGGTGCAAATCCGTCGAAAATTGCGGCCGTGCATTCGTTACACACACGCACACACACACACACACACACACACACACACACACACACACACACACACATCCTGTCTTTTATAGATAGAGATATTGGATCCCAGATCTATTCTTGCTTGATTCTGGCATCTTCCATTTGTAGCTCTTGTCTTGCGCTGTCACTCTTCTTCACATTTTCTATCCACGATATCCTCAGCATCCTTCTTTAGAACCATATCTCCTTGCCTCAATTCTATCCTTAATCTGTTGCCCAGCATTCACTGCCATATAGAAAGATTGATATTACATAGCAGTTCAGCAGTCATCTTTGTTTTTACAAAAAATATTCCTTTTTTTAATTGAATTCACCCCAAACAAGGCAATAAAGCCACTAAGACACAAGGGGTTACGGGGTGTGAAAGAATTATAAAACAGAAGCATTTCTAAGGAGGGAGAACAATAATGTTTCTACTTCTATGTGCCATATCCCTTTAAAAGGTGAGCGATCATGACTCTCCATAATTTCTTGATTTTTGTAGCTCTTAGCAATATTTGCTTTTGTCATTATTTATCCATTCTCAGATCTGACATCGACTTACATAAACGTATTATGTAGGTTATTCACTATTTTTCTCTGATCTTCTTGTCTTCGATATGTCATGTGAGTGTCAATTACTCCTAGCCTTCTTTCCTAATGTCTCAGTGTCCCAGAAATTGAAATCTCTTTCTAATTCTAATTATAGGCCTCTTTTTTTTTTTTATTCCATTTTCCTTAAAATTTCTTCACTGTTCAGTCCATGGTATTCTCAGCATCCTTCTGTAGAACTACGTGTTGTCCCAGGTCACCACTTCATCTGTGAGGAAATTGTCCAGCATTCACTGCCATATAAGTGAACTGATATTATATAGCAGTTCAGCACTCTCTTTTTTGTTTCTAATGAAATTTTCACGTTTTTTAATACTTTGTTTAGCTTTAGGAAAGCATTTTTTCCTTTTCCAGTGAACCTTCATATTTTTGTATCTTATATCTTGTTCTGTCCCTTTTCGTCGCATTTTCCATCCAGGACATTCTCAGCATCCTTCTGTTGAACCACATCTCTCTTACCTAAAGTTTCTAATTAATATCTAGCTCTTCTCTGTTTTCATCGTAGTTCACGTGGTAAACATAATGTATGGACACCGTGCTTGCATCCTGTACTTGAGTGAGTCACTCAAGAATACACGAATCCGTCACATACAGATCCGGTCCATTAACCAGGGAAGGCGATTTCAGGACGTGGCAATCATGGCTTTCCACAAGTCCGACTCGTTGTAGCTCTTAATAAATTCTGTCTTCTCGTTATTTCTTCTAAGCTCTGTTCTGTCATCCATTTATTCAAGCTCACTAAGTATGTCAAGCATTGTTTATTGCTGCACTTCTTGCCCTTTATCTGTCCCGTGGGTATCAGATTTTCCAAGCACTTCTTCCTCATTATATGCCTCTGAAATCCCAACTATCTCTTCCTGCTGTTAACTATTCATTTCCTTTTTGCTTCCATTATCACCAAAACTTCTTCGTTGCTAATATGTTCGGGCCACGATATCATCATATAAAACATATTTCTGTTGTTTTATATCCCCTCTTCATTTTGAGGAGGCTGTTCAGCATCCACTGCCATACAGGAGGACAGATATCACATAGCAGTTTAGTACTCTTTTCCTTCTTTCTAGCGAAATTTTCCTATATCTTAATACTCTGCTTAGCTTTTGGAATATTTCCTTGGCTATTCCAATACGCTTTCTGATATAGACATCATTAAATGCATTTCTTGTAATTATTATAATTTTAAATAATATAAAAGGCTGAAATTTTTATTATAATAACCAAAGATTTTCCAACGATGTGCCGTACATGTAGAGTAAGAATTACGAATATAATGTTAAACAAAATTAATAAAAACTGCATTAGCCTATTTATCGCTGTTTCTGGTGGATCCTTTGAGTTCCGGGGCACACGGGTTGAGAAACATTGCCTTAATCTGGGGTGGGGAACTGTCCAACAGGACTGATATTATATAGCAGGTCATCCCTCTTTTTTTGTTTCTTGAAAATATTCATGTCTTTTAATACTTTGCTTAGCTTTTGGAAGGTAACTTTTGCTGTTATGTTTTTCTATACAATACGCCTTCGGAATTTGGTACCACATTTCTCATTGTCTGTAATAAACCTTCACAGAGCGATTTCGTTTTAAATATAATCTTCTTTTCTTTTTCTTTTTTATTTCAGTTTTATTTTTAAATTTTTTCTTCTTTATCCGGTTTAAGAGGAAGAAAACAATATGGTGGGGTTGATAGACAACATTTTTAAAAATAAAGAGCTTGACAAAAAAAAAAAAAAAGGAAGACTTTGGACTATGTTGAGTGAAAATATGCTAATTTAAATTGTAAAAATGGTGAGAAACTTTTATAGGTAAGTTAATTTTAAAACAATAAGAAAGAATATAAGCAAAACAAAGAACAGTATAACCGAACGAAAACAATAATAAAAAATATGAATTAAGAAAACGGAAGATAGTGACTGACATTTGCATTTTTGAAGATCAAAATTGACTGGGGAAAAAAAAAGCCGGAAAGCAGTTTCACAAGCGAGAAGTGCGAGAGAACAAACTGTTAGCATAGAACTTACGGTTACATCCAGCCATTTCAACTGGAATGTGATGAGACCTTGCCGCCAATCTAGTACTGCACTTACATTCATAAATTCTAGGTGCCATAGAGGAAAGGTCATTAAAACAATAAACAATGAAAATATTTATAGAAAATACCACAGAAGCTACATTACGGCGGTTGGAAAATTGAACAGAACACACTCACACACGCACACTCATATATATATATATATATATATATATATATATGCAAGCAAATATATGGATATAGATCCGACAGTATGAAGAAAAATATACGGAAAAAACAAACAAAAATCCTTATATACAATTATACTGTTTTAATGTTAATATGTACATCGTCTTTGTCATGTTGAATTGATAATGTTAATTATATTTTATGAATATGTCCTGAAGATGGTTTATTAGACCGAAACGTCCGACGTTGACATATTAACATTAAAACAGCATAATTGTATATAATGATTTTTGTTTGTTTTTTCCGTATATTTTTTTCTTATATATATATATATATATATATATATATATATATATATAGAGAGAGAGAGAGAGAGAGAGATAAGCACACACATATATATATGCATATATATATGCATATATGTGTGTTTGTGTGTGAGTGTGTGTGTAAAAAATCGGATAGTGTATCTGTAAAACGACAATGTGAATAAAGTCAAAAGGAAAACTTAGCCGACGCGTTTCGTCCTCTGTGAGACTATCAAGGAACCAAATCAAAAGCGACTTTATCAAGAGCCTTTGCCTTGATAAAGTCCCTCAAAGGACGAAACATGCTGCCTAAAAGGAGTTTTCCTTTTTCTTTATTCTTATTGTTCTTTTACAGATATACTCTATTTGAAAAAATTACGCAGACACACACGCGCATTATATATATATATATATATATATATATATATATATATATATATATATATATATAATATTAGTGGAAAATATACATACATATGCAAAATATATAAATACCCATACATGTATATTTTTAGAAAAAAAAAATTCCAAGACGAAGAATCCAGGTAGAACTCAATGTCTAGGACAGAGTAAGGATATAATAAAAAGGCTTAAACACTAATATTCCATGGTCATAATTTATTCCATTGGAATCGTAAATACGATCCAATTCATCAGACCTACAAATACAAAAAGAAAA